TATTAAAAACATTAGAAGAAATGGTTCATATTCCTACCTTAAAATTGAGTGTGCAAGCTAAAGATGAGTTTTTCTTGCAGAATAGAAGGTCTGACACATAATATGATCCTCTTATATAGGGTTAACCAACAAAATTTTAGGCAGAACGACTTCAAAGAGCATTACCCCGTTGAAATATGAACTGTTTTCATAACGGCTTATATGAATTTTTTTATATATATATATGATCAGTACATGTGCTGGGATTGACAAATATGCTTTTTATTTGGATTTTAAAGGCGTTTTGAGCTCCACACCTCAAGTGTCTGTGAAAAACTGAGTACTATTATATTGGGAGATCAATAAAAACAACTACATGTACAGTATATGAAGTTGAAAATTGGCAAAATTTATTATGCCATTAGAACAAATACATGTATCTATTAAGCAAAAAGATATAAAATATATATAAATGTTGATGTAAGTAAAGTAGCTTAAATTAATAACTTGATAAATATGTTCGAAGTGGGGTCTCCCTAATTACCGACAAGAACCGTCAGGAACCGACAAGAACCGACAAGAGCCTATATATTACAAATAAACAAATACAAATGTGTTTTTATGATTGTTAAACATGCAGGGCATATATTTTTTTATATTTGATAAGGTTTTTCTTGTATTTTTATAGAAAATTAAATATATGCGTACCGACAAGAAAAATTCGAGTGCAACGCGTACTGTTACTGTTACGTTGACACCGACAAGAAAGATTTGTTATTTCCAATATAATATAAATAATATAATCAGTTGCAAAAGTTGTGGTCAGAATATCTTATAAACATGTTTCAACCTTATCTGTAGTCATAAAATAGTTTTTCATGACATTGCATGAATGTATATGCAACCGACAAGAAAAAAACAGGGATCATGCGTAATGAAGATTTACCGACAAGAAATTGAGAACGAGCTGTAGTGTAGATGTAGAACATGTATATAATCTTTTTTTGTAATTAAATAACTTTTAAGACTTTAAACTTTCATATTTTAATGCATATAAGAAAAAATATTTGTGTTTATTCCATTTAGTTTTAAAATATATTTTAACAAATCGATTACCGACAAAAAAAACAGGGATCATGCGTAATGAAGATTTACCGACAAGAAATTGAGAACAAGCTGAAGTGTAGATGTAGAACATGTATATAATCTTTTTTTTTTTGTAATTAAATAACTTTTAAGACTTTAAACTTTCATATTTTAATGCATATAAGAAAAAATATTTGTGTTTATTCCATTTAGTTTTAAAATATATTTTAACAAATCGATTACCGACAAGAAAAAAACAGGGATCATGCGTAATGAAGATTTACCGACAAGAAATTGAGAACGAGCTGTAGTGTAGATGTAGAACATGTATATAATCTTTTTTTTTGTAATTAAATAACTTTTAAGACTTTAAACTTTCATATTTTAATGCATATAAGAAAAAATATTTGTGTTTATTCCATTTAGTTTTAAAATATATTTTAACAAATCGATTACCGACAAGAAAAAAACAGGGATCATGCGTAATGAAGATTTACCGACAAGAAATTGAGAACGAGCTGTAGTGTAGAAAGAACATGTATATAATCCTTCTTTTGTACTTTTTTTTCAGTTTTTGAAGAAATTGATGATGACTTAATTCTCACCACTGAGAAGAAAAGACGGACATCATGACGTACAAAGATGTGATCGATGTTATGCATTATACGCTTGTATTTGTTTAATGAAAAAAACATTGAAACCTATAAAATTTCGACCACAGGTCTCATCGATCAGGTTGTAGTTCATTTCTCCACTAGAGGTAAAGAAATAAACAGAGATATCCCCACTATAGGTTTTAATATTTTATTATCATAAAACTTACGGGCAGTTACGCCACGCCAGAGGTTGCAGAAAATTTTAACTTTTTTATTTAAATTTAAAATTATTTACATAAGTTACAGCACTGAAAATGTATTGTAGCTAAAATTGATAATGTTTGGTAAAGATAGGCCAATTATTGTGTATTATACATATGTATTCATATGCTTTTTAAGTAATTTCGTATCTCAAATTAAACATTCTCACATCACATAAACCATTATTTTATAGTCAAGTATATAATTTTTTATAATATAATTCATGTCATGTGTCATTTATGTATTATATGTTGTATTTGTATATTTAATATGGTGATAAGCTTTTTATGCTTAAACCAAGTAATAAAGTTTCTGTTCTGTTCTGTTCAATGTACGAATTATCTCTTCTTTCTCGAAATTGTTTTCGCACCTTTTCAGCCTTAAAGTTTTCACAGCTTTGATTAAATTAAATCGCTCAAAGTTAACTGAGTGAGAAACACACGCGCACAAGCTTTAATTGAGTAATATCAATCAATTTTGTTTGAGCAATCAATTTTGAAATTTGTACTTGAAAAACCTAAAAAAAAATTTTTTTTGGCCCTGAATATGTTATATGTATATATGCTAATACAATAATTGAATTGAATTTATGTTTTCGTCCATTATTTTATTTTATTTCTATATCCTTATTGTATGCTTTACCGATGTATTTGTGTAAAAATTGTAAATGGATTATAATTGGATAATTTAAATGGCAGGTATGTAAAACTTTATATATGAAATATATTTTGATACAGTTATGAAATACTATTATTTTAAACAACTATAACTGATCACTTTCATTAAATATGTTATATCATGCCTATACATAATATCTCTTTAAAGAAAACATGATCATGAAGCATGATAATATTTCTTGTCGGTACTGTAGGCATGAAAACACTTCTTGTCGGTACAGAAATAAATGCCTAAATGTAGGATATTTTGTAATCAATGACAACGAAATGTTTTAAAATTATTTATTGAATAGATAGGCTGACAATAAATTATTTGAACACATTTAAAAACCTACGCCATTGATAGCAATAATGAAACTTTCTTGTCGGTATCCGCGAATATTCTCATATCATTATTCATTAATGATGATATTCTTAATTGAATTAGAAAACATTTAACATAATAATTATTATTTATAATACAACATAATCTTAATAAAAATAATTATGATTTAACACTTATACACAAATTCTTAATGTAATATCAATGATACGAAGATGGCCGAGTTCTTGACGGTGAGAAACTGAGACTGACTTCTTGTCGGTATAGATATTTGCCTATAAACATGGTTCACAACGAATTTATTATGTTTTTAATGTAAAAAATATTAGGAATTGTTATTTTTAAATGATGAATAAGTGAAATTAATTCGTATTTTCCTATTTTTACTTCTTGTCGGTTCTTGTCGGTTCCTGACGGTTCTTGTCGGTAATTAGGGAGACCGTCGAAGTGTATTTATTTCACGAAAAGAGTTCCCTTTTGTTATATTAGTCGGGTGAACTTTTCCAGCAGTATATTTTATATTCATGAATTGCAATGAGTTATATTTTTTGATATACTGGCTACATTTTGCTTAAACTGGGAAGAGACAATCAGCTAATCCCTGACTTCCCTGTCCATGTTACAATGCGAGAGTCTGACCATAAGGAACCCTTTTTCATCTTTTGGAAAATTAATTAGATAGTCTGACCTGAAACTGTCAGTATTATTCTGGGTCTCCATGTTGCGGATATTTATTGACAAATTGCCCTTGATAAAGGGTAAGTTAAACTGTTTAGTAATGTTTTAAGGGTAATAATATTTTAATGAATACATTTTATATGAATGCTGTATTAAAGACTTCGTGACAATTCATTGATGTTGTTTTTCATTTGTTTTCGCGAGTAGTTTTTCATTTGTTTTCGCGAGTATGACTTGATTTTCGCATTGCAATAGTCAGGGATAGCCAAATTAGTGAACCCTTAACGGTTTGACCCGTTTAACAGACTGTTTGTATTTTTTAATACTGTCAAACCTTTCATTGGATAGCCCTATACATGTCTATGTCGCAGTTCATAAGATGAATGTCTAGTGGGTTCTACTAAACACTGCTAAGGACTGCTGCAGTCTTTAGCAGTGTTTAGTAGGACCTTGTCTAGTGGCCACTGTGATTTCAGATACTTGAGACCTGGACAGAGGGTCTGGAAAGACACAAATTATGTGCTTTCAAATAATTTTATTACAATTCAACAATCGAGGCTCTCGTCAACAAAATCTTTCAAAATAAGATTCATACTCTACGGGTTATCTCGGACTGGAACAATTTACCAGAAGTGGTTGTGAATGCTCCTTCACTTAACAGCTTTAAAAACAGGTTGGACAAATTCATGGGAGCAATTCAGTATACCACCATACCGGATCAGAACTGGGTACAAAGCCATGGGGGGGGGGGGTTATAGAAGACGATGACGTCTTGCGACCTCATCTCCAGTAAAGTAAAGTAAAGTATACTTCCCATTTTGTCATTCATCATTTTCAAAAATATTTTTATCTCTCTATTATAGGAGGCCATACGTGGAGCAGATGTGTCTATTATTTACAAATAAGTTCAAACAGAACATTCTCTAAAAATACAAACTCAGAATTCAATGAAGGAATCAGTAGATTTTCCGAAAACAATGAAAATGTTAAGAACATCAACCAAAGATTGGCTCCAAAACCTGACATGCAAAAGAAAGAAATATCAAAAGAGCCAATAAGCAAAACAATGGACAGAAACCCAGGTAACATTCACTTATTTTGGCTTTTTAGGCCCCGAAGGGAGGCATATTAAAATCGCACTGTCGGTCTGTGCGTCCCGACTTCATTCTTATCCGGACTGTAACTTTGTCATTCATGAATACATTGAGGGATTTTGAAATAACATGGCACAAATGTCTACCACAACAAGACAATGTGTTGCGGCTAATTCTCATGTCTGTTTGTCTGTCCGTATGTCCCTACTTACACAACAATCATGTCCAGACTGTAACTTTGTCATCCATGGAGGGATTTTGAAATAACTTGGCACAAATGTCTATGTCATAACACATTCTGTCGCATCCAGGAACCACATCCGTTCTTCAAAGGTCAAGGTCACACTTATATTTTGAAGGTTCACGCTATCAAAATTAAGAGATTACAGGTACAATAATACAAAGATCAATATTAAGCAATGAGTTGCTTTCATTCTCTTTTCTTTTCATAATACCTGCATGCTTAAGAAATCTTTTCCGGGGGCATTCGTCACTTGGGTGACAGCTCTTGTTTTAGCTAACCTGAGGACTTGTGAGCTTTAAAAATTGATGGTTGTCTTTACCTTTTTTCCTTTAAACAACTTGGCAAAATTTCATAAAACTTGCCCAAAAGTTTTCAAACAGCTCAAAATACCTTAAATTTGGCACTATCGGTTTGTTGTGTAGAGTAAGACGCTAAATAAAAATATTGTACTGGTTCTTCAATAACACTGTTGACTTTCTGATTACTGGAAGTTTCAATAACATTGTATAATTTCTGATTACCGGAAGTCAACTCCTATTCATTTAAATCAAACATTACATTCTAACATGCTTCACCCTATTGGCCTATTCTCCTGTCAAACAAGTAGGACAGTCAAGTGCATTATTACATGATATATGCACACCATAAAAAAAGAGTGCTTGCACATCATATGACATCAAATATGGTGTCATTAAACCAAATGATGTCAGGGTAAATTACATCTAGACTCAATGAAGTTCAACATATTTTTATCAAGACTCGTTTTTATTTAAAATTATATAGCAATATTAGATGGTTCATGTTACTACTTTTAGTTACCTTGAGTTGAATAATCAAGATTTGAAAATAGGATACTTTTTTTCAGAGGAGTTGTACCGGCGTTATTTTTTGAGACCAGACCAGCCTGAAAACCCTCACCTTCTGAGGGTAGCGATCATCGGAGCACCTAATTCTGGCAAGTCTACGTTAATCAACACCCTCACGGGCTGGAAGGTAATGATGGTTATGCTGAGTATTTCACATGATATATATTATATTAAAACATAATGATGTTAAAGGCTTATTTGTAAGGTTAAGATTACAATTGTTATAGTTTTTGTTCAGCTGTACATGAGGAGTGATGTTACAGTCACTTATTCTTTAGTTATTAAGTATTCATGCAATGATATAGCTACTAAGTGTTTATGCAATGATATACCCAGTATAATTGTTAATGATAATTCATATATTGTTCCGTATCATCAACCATATCATCTGTATATACGTGTATAATTAAAGATTCTAACACCAGATTAGCCGCCCTTGTTCACCTTACTGTCCAGTAAGAAAGTTAGGAAAGTTATCCAGGAAAGCCAGTTAGGAGGATGGATTCCTGAGATATGGCCAAGACTTCGTGTTAAAATCAATGTGAATAACAATCTATACCATCACCTGGTCTCATTGATGCCTCAGTCCTTTGTTAAATGAAATACACAGATATATAATAAAAAATGGACTTAGCTTAAGATATAAGAAAACTTTTAAACTTCTATCCAAAAGATGTTATCCGCAACTTCGCAAATGTGGGTTTTTCCCCCGAGTAATCCATAGGTACAAACAAACTTTTACCGTTAAATAGCTTTATGTTGCACTATCAGTCACAATAAATTTGTCAACCTCATTGTACCTACGGATAAGCTTGGAAAAACCCCAAATATTCTTAATACCGGAGTAAGTCTTTTAGAAAAAAAGGGAATTAAAAATCATAGGGTGTACTTATTCATAATGAATATTTTCAATTTTCAGCTGAATTCTGTATCAGCGAAAGTACATACAACAAGACAAAATGCGAACACAATGTTTACCATGGAAAATACCCAGATTGTAAGTTAATCTATTTTAATTATTCTAGAAATGTTATGGCCACCAGTATATTATTATAAACCCATAGCCTGCTAAATAGTTATGTTAAAATAAAATAGACTTGCCCATCTTTCAATCTTGACAACCAGGCATGGGGCAGCTGAGGTCTTCCTCCACCACTGAAGCTGGAAAGCTGCCCTTTACAGTATTGGTATGACTTTTATATTTAAAATCTATCTGTGACCCCACAAATTATAGAAGTTTATTCATTTAAAAAAGAGTAAGGACTCGGGCCACTTTGAACTTGTAGTGAATATTAAGACGAGAGCTGATTTATTCATCTTTGGCATATGTGTCTAGACTAATAATATCTGTCATGTGGGTAGGTTCCGGAGGGACTAATAATCCTATCCAAACTGCAATCATATGTCGGATATTTTTTCTGGAATATTATACCATATTCCATTATATTTTAAGCTCTTTAATAAATTAAACAATGTTTCATGGAAATTTATGTCATTACACCTGTAACTATTTTCTTACAACAGCATTTGAAATTACAAATTCTTGCATAACGGTAAAATAACGTCATCCTTACTGTGCCATTGTACACCACGTGACTCATCAGGCACCCCCCATGCCAGATAAAATTTCCAGCATAGGCAAAATAAATGTGAATGCCAGTCTTTTATGCAATAACATATTTTATTTTATTGTACATAGAAAAATGAATTGTGCTATAATTGATTATTATATTTATATATGAGAAAAAATTCTAGAAACTTTTGTATAAAAATAGTAATTGTGTCTTTGATTAATGTACAAACAAGCAAAATTGTATCTGATCAAGTTGTTTTGTTTTAATCTTGTAGATATTTGTTGATACCCCTGGAGTGCTCAGTAGGAAAGAAAAAAACAGGTAATGTAATCTGTTAACATTAATTTGAGCCACATCAAGACAAAAACAACATAGTGCGTTTCCATCTGCGCAGACTGATCAGGATCCATGCTGTTCGCTATTAGTTTCTCTACTTGTAAAAGGGTTGGTTAGCGAACAGCATGGATCCTGATCAGACTGTGCGGATGCGCAGGCTGGTCTGGATCCATGCTGGTCGCAAACGCACTATGTTGGTTTTGTCATGACGCGGCTCAATATATGTTACAGAAATAACTCATTAAATTCAGTTCCTTATTTTGTGAGTTCATTAGAAGGTCTCTCACAAAAATGTGCTTGTAGTACTAGAAAAAATTGGAAACTCTAACCCTGGCTGGGTAAAAATATCCAAATCTGTAGGGACTGTCAAAAGAAAAAATTCCTAAGACTAGTTTTTATACGCCCGAAAGAATTTCGGAGTATATTGTTGTTTATGCTATCTTGCTAAGTGTGTTACTGAAATGGCATTTAAGACAACAAGATTATGAAGAAGAAACGACTTGACGCCCAAGGCTATCTTTGTTAGGTGTGTCGCTGAGGCTTATTTTATAACAAATGTATTGTTGTGTGTTTTACAGGCATTATTGTGAAGGAAAAATGTTGTCAGAACCACAGAGAGGAGTTGAGGAGGCCGACGTTGGTAAGTGGGTGTAATCTTATTTACATATACATGTATATACTCATTTTACGGGGCACTTTGTTGATTTTCTGCCCTGACATATTTATTCAATAGAAGCTTTTCTTATATGGAATGCTATTTTATTAGAATTACTTTCTCCTGTCCTGTCCTGATGTTTTTATTCCCCACTTTAAAGTGGAAACATACTGTAATAAAGTCATTCCATTGGTCTAGATCGAGCTGTTTGTCTATTTGTATATCACCTCTTCTTTGTCCTATCAATAACTTGAGACTTGGTAGGGCCAATTGATGACCCTATTAATAGTGAGGTCAACAGCCAAGGTTAATATGGCCTTGACCACTAAGAGCTTGCCTGAGCAATAACTAGATAACACTAGTCTTGAGCCTACAATCCTAAGAGACAATGCAGAGGAAGGTCATGAGCAGGAAATGATTTTGAAGTCAGTAGGTCAAAAGCCACTTTGGCCGTAACAATTGAAACTTTGTCTGACCAATAACTATAGAACACTGGTCTAAAGTCCAATTGAGGTTGGTCTTGGACTAATACATAATTCTGATTGATTTTGAAATTTAAATGGATAGGTTAAAGGTTAAGGTCATGGTGGCATAACTGGAGAACACATTTGCATATTGTAGGTTGGCTATTAAGTGACCCCTATTGATTAAGGTCACACTGGAACTATGAACCTTTCCAGAAAAGACATAACTCTAAGTTACTTAAACTTAATAGGGTCAATGCCAAGGCCACCAGATGCTATATATTGATATGGAGGTCAAAGGTCAAGGTCACAGTGACATTTTTTTTGAACTTGTATCAATAACCTGTTTATGTTACTTTGGTTGTGTAGGGATTGTATCTGTTCATGAAAAAATTACCCAGTTGTATAAATTTGTGAACGTCTTCTGGTTTGTTACCAGTTGGTGTTGTGGTGGATGTATCAAGCAAATGGACACGGAACCAGCTGCACAATGAAATATTGAAAGTGCTGTACCTGCATAGAGATGTCCCATCTTTTCTTATCCTAAACAAGGTAAAGTAATTCCATTCTGTAATATCATAAATTATATCAGATGATATATGTAGATGATGCAATGTGTGTATTTTACAATTGTTACTTATCCTAACAGGCTGACAAACTTTGTACCATAAAAATTAAATTTCAGTTGCACTCTTTATCACTGCAGTAGGTAATGAGAGAGGATTAAAATGAAAACAGGTCTGGTCTAATTCATAGAGCTTTTCTTCTGAATAAAAAATTACAACAGTTCTTTATCAAAATGGAATACTGTCAATATCTACATTTTACCTTAGTGGTAACATGGGTCCTCTGTGGCTGAGTGCTTAAGGCCACTGACTGAGAACTATTTGCCCCTCACTGCTGTAGGTTCAAATCTTACCAGGAACTTTGGCTTCTTTCATGTGAGAAAGCTAACCAGCTAGCATACTAAAGGTTTTACTCGGTGTCTGCTAATGCCTGGAGGGGAGTCTTAAGGTCTTTCTCCACCAGTAAAGCTAAAAGGTCACCTTCTGACCTTTAAGGTGTTGGTGTGACTTTAAACCTAACAAGCAAAAAATGAGCCGCGTCACGACAAAACCAACATAGTGCGTTTGCAACCAGCATGGATCCAGACCAGACTGCGCGGATCAGACCAGCCTGCGCATCCGCGCAGTCTGATCAGCATCCATGCTGTTCGCTTTCAGTTTCTCTACTTGTTAAAGGTTTGGTAAGCAAACAGCATGGATCCTGATCAGAATGCGCAGATGGTCTGGATCCATGCTGGTGGCAAACCCATTATGTTGGTTTTGTCGTGATGCAGCTCAAATTATGTTGTAACTATTTTGCTGTTTTATTATTGATATACTATGCTGATGCTTAAGTACAGTATATCTTTTAACAGGTCTTGAATGACATTAATTTAAAAAAGAACATATTGATGTTTGCTTTTTGTTAATTTTTAACAGATAGACGTCTTAAGAAACCATCACTTGACAAGGCAGCAGAGATTATTGCTGGATGTTACGAGATGTTTAACAGATGGTAAAGTTGGCGGCAAAAAATTTGGGAGATCAAAAATTGAAAGACTTGGACAAAAGAAACCTGACAAATTATTTGAATTGCTAGAACAGAAATATGGAGCTCTAAAAAACAAACGTTTGAAAAATGTGAGCAAGAGGAGTCATAAAAAAATTGAAATTGATTCCAGTCAAGATTTGGCAACACAATTTAGTGAGATTACCAAAACAGAAGTGAGTAAATATCTAACTACATGGTTACAAGTGGATTTTAAGGCGAGGGGAAAGGAGGCTATAAAAGTGGATAGGTCAACGAAACCTGAACCTGTGAGAGAAATTGAAAAAGATGTTGTAGAAGGGATACACAAAGAGAAATTTGATTCAAAGGCAGTGCAAAAAAAAATGTTAGGAATATTTAATCAGTTCCATAAAATAGACGAAACAGAAGATGTAATAAGTGAACAAGGAATGTCTTCAGCAGATGTTGAACTTACTGACGATGACACTGGTGAATTAATAGATAGTTCTTCTGATATTGTTGATTTAATGAATAATTCTTCCAATACTGGTGAATTAAAGAATGATTCTTTGGACACTAGTGAATTAAAGAATAATTCTTTGGAAGATTATGCTAATGTGGTGATGTCATCTGCCTTGAAGGAGGAAGTAGGTGAAACTGAAAATGTAAATACTGTGAAGGGTGAAGATCTTGATAGAGAAGTGGAGAATAAGCTAGAAGGAACTTATCTAATAACAGAGTGTGAGTTATCTGAACTTGAGAAAGGTGAGTTCAGTGAAGACAAATCTGACTCGGAAATTGTAAAAAATGAATTTGAAGAGTCATATCAGTCCGAATTTTTAACTCGTATTCTCTCGAGACCGCATGAATTTTCTACCGATGAAGATGAAGCTAGAAAAGACGAAGAACAAAGGAGGGATAAGTTAGAAATATCGGAAGAAGTTGAGGAGCTTAAAAAAGCTATTGAGGCAGTCAAAGACAAATATGGTTGGCCACGTTTTGATGCGGTTTTCCCAATCTGTGCCTTAGATGGACAGGGAATAGATTCATTAAAGGTATGAGTACTTTAAACCTATAACCTGCTGAATTTTTGTAATGGAATTGTCCTGTCTCTGGAACAGTTCATTTAAAGTTTTAGGGATGTTTTTCTTTTATGGAAAAGAACAAAAACTTGGAGCTGCTTTTCAATATAGATTCTTGTATTCTTCACACTTATGCAACTGCCTCCGTGGTCGAGGGGTTAGAGTAGATGACTTCTAATCCAGTTACCTCTCTGGCGTGGGTTCGATCCCCGGGCGATGCTTTGGTAGTTTAGCGCGGAGGAAGGTAGTCTAGTACTGGTGTAAATCTCCAGGAACGATGGTTAGGAAACTACCCGCCTATATGACTGAAATACTGTTGGGAAACTAGTACTGGTGTTACTCTCCAGGAACGATGATTAGGAAACTACCCGCCTATATGACTGAAATACTGTTGGGAAACTAGTACTGGTGTTACTCTCCAGGAACGATGATTAGGAAACTACCCGCCTATATGACTGAAATACTGTTGGGAAAAGGCGTAAAATGAAACAAACAAACAAACTTCACACTTATGCTGGCAGACTTTGCTCTATACTGGTGACAAAGTCTTAACATTTTCTGTTTCTGCAAGTTAAAAGATACTCCATGAAATATGAAATATGAAAAGATATGCTCATATTTGCATAAAATATTTTAATTACAAAAATTTATTGAAATTATGAAATTCTTACAAAATACGTCTAATTTGAATAAAAGAATGAATAAACTACATTTTTGTATGTAGAAGCTGTGTTCCAAAAGTAATCACAAAAAGGTTAGGACTTGATCACTTACAACAAAATGCATATTTCAATATCCTCAAAATTACAAGTGACGGTGAAGATAGCACACAGAAGTAATTTTGTGTATTCTGAATCAATCCGTGTTAAGTGTTTTGTAGAATGTATATTAGCTTGAAAATTATGACATTTGTATCATTGTAAGTAATTGTCTTGCAGGATTACTTGTTTAAAATGTCGAAACCAGGGGATTGGATTTTTCATAGCAGTGTTATTACGGATCAGCATCCTTGGGACTTAGCAAAGCAGTGTGTTATACAGAGCTTTCTAGATCATGTGGAAGGTTATATGCCATACACTTTCAGACCGGTAGGTTTTGCTTTTGATTTAATGGTTTCTTCTTGAAAATAAATCTTCAAAAATTTTGTGTCTTGGGCCTAAAGAGGTTGTCATGTGGGCCCTATTTTTCCTACATTTCATTTTTTTTTACCTTAGCTCTATTTTTCCTACTTTTCTTTTTAATTTTTTTTTCATCTTAACCCGTTTTTCCTTCTTTTCTTTACTTTTCGCACCTTAGCTCTACATTTCCAGCTCTAAAATCCCTTCATAGTAAGATGCCACGGTGTCTTACAGAAATCACAAAATTGATTTTTTTATGTTGATAGATAACAACATGTTGTTAAACAACAGAATTAGTTTATTTTCAAACACTGCAAAACAACATGGTTTTTATAGGGTTTTATGCAAAACCTGTGGAGTTTCCAGTGCCTTTGATTAGGGCTATGCTCTGGACTATTGTGAACACTTGTGACCCTTAAATACCCCAGCTAAATATAATTAACTATTTGAATCCATTTCCTCATTTTGCCTTTCTGCAATACCCCTTGCTGATTATTTATTTACAAGTCAACATATTTTTTAATTTGGATATTGTTGTTTTACCCTTTCACTGCCATAGGGACGGGATATGCCATCCCTATTATTTTCGGCGTATTTGCCATATGGACGGCTTTTGCCGTTTCTATAATAATAATAATAATAATAATCATAATAATCATAATTATAATAATAATAATTATAATAATAATAATAAATATATAGATAATTATACCATCAACAATATTTATTATATACTAGCAGATTTGGAAACATATATAATTATTATAATACTAATAAAAAAAAATTGATAATTATATTAATTAATAATATAGTAATTTCTTAGAAAACCTTCTGGCAAATAGGTGATCAATAAATAAATAACCCTCTGGCAGCGAAAGGGTTAAAGAGAGATAATAGATTGAGAGTGTTTACAGAGTGTTTATTTTAATATAAGATACAATGTAAGGTATTGTTTATTATTGTGACAATAATCACTTTTATTAAATACATGTAAATGAAACATTGAGAAATATTGATGAAATAAAATGTGTGATTTCATTTTCCATATTTTCACTGTAAAAAATTATTTTCCACAGCAGTGAAACATATTTTCACTGGTGTCTTGCCGGACTACTTTCTGCTATATAAAGATAATATACAAAATTTAAGGGAAAGTCATTCAAATTCTGAAATAAGAGAAAATGTATATAATAAACAGAAAATTCAAGTTTTTTTCCTACAAATACAGGATTTATTTTCATCTTGAGGTATGAAAATTATATGGCTACTGCCACTCATGAAATATTTATTTTCATACCACTCAATAAAAATAAATACTGTATTTATAGTAAAAAATTGAATATCTATGTATTTGAGTATAATTATAACAATAACATAACATATAAGGACAAGACAAGACACCAGGCCCATTGGGCCTTTATGTCTCCAGTATGATGAAATGAAGTCAATTTTTTTTTACACAAATTGAAATATATATATGAGTATACATAGGATAAATATGAAGTACATGTACATACTGCCGAGCATCAGTAAACTGAAATGTTAAATTATATCACTTTGTTATAGCCGAGAAATCATTCTAAATCTAAATTTAATGAGATACACAAAGTTTTGTTTTTATACCCCCAAAAACTAAGTTGGGGGGGGGGTATATAGGAGTCACCCGGTAGTTGGTCGGTCGGTCCAGCGGTCTGTTGCATTTTCCTTGTCCGGAGCATAACTTGAAGACTAATGGTTGGAATTCAATATAACTTCATACAATGGTCAAGCACATTGAGAGGAAGTGCAGTGCACAAGAACAATAACTCCATCTTGACTAATTACAGAGTTATTGCCCTTTGTTACTTTTCCTTGTCCGGAGCATAACTTGAAAACTACTGGTTGAAACTCGAAACAACTTCATACAATTGTCAAGCACAATAAGGGGAAGTGCAGTGCACAAGAACCATAACTCTATCTAAAGTTATTACAGAGTTATTGCCCTCTGTTATTTTTTCATTGCTTTCTTTTGTCCGGACTATAACTTGAAGACTAATTTTAACTTCATACAATATTCAAGCACATTGAGAGGAAGTGCAGTGCACAAGAACCATAACTCCATTTTGACTATTCAATATAACTTCATACAATGGTCAAGCACAATAAGGGGAAGTGCCATGCACAAGAATCATAACTCCATCTTGACTAATTACAGAGTTATTGCCCTTTGTTACTTTTCCATTGCTTTTTTTTGTCCGGAGCATAACTTGAAGACTAATAGTTGGAATTCAATATAACTTCATACAATGGTAAATCCCATTGAGAGGAAGTGAAGTGCACAAGAACCATAACTCCATTTTGACTAATTACAGAGTTATTGCCCTTTGTTACTTTTCCTTGTCCAGAGCATAACTTGAAAACTACTGGTTGGAATTCAATACAACTTCATGCAGTTGTCAAGCACATTAAGAGGAAATGCAGTGCACAAGAATTATAACTCCATTTTGACAAATTACAGAGTTATTGCCCTTTGCTACTTTTCCTTGTCCGGAGCATAACTGAAAACATACTGGTTGGAATTTAAAACAACATCATACAATGGTCAAGCACAATAAGGGGAAGTGCAGTGCACAAGAACCATAACTCCATTTTGACTAATTACAGAGTTACTTTTCCTTGTCCGGAGCATAACTTGATAACTACTGGTTGGAATTCAAAACAACTTCATACAATGGTCAAGCGCAAGAACTATAACTCTGTCCAGAGTAATTATAGTGTTATTGTCTTTTGTTACTTTTCCATTGCTTTTTTCTTGTCCAGAGCATAACTTGAAAACTACTGGTTGGAATTTCAAACTATTTCATACAATGGTCAAGTATATTGAGAGGAAGTGCAGTGCACAGAAACCATAACTCTTTTTTGACTAATTTAAAAGTTTTTGCACTTTGTTACTTTTTATTGTCCAGTGCATAACTTGAAAATTAATGGTTGGAATTCAATGAAACTTTATATTATGGCCAAGGGCAGTGAGATGAAGTGCAGTGCACAAGAACAATAACTCTATTTGGACTAATTACAGTTATTGCCTTTGTTACTTTTTTGTCCAGTGCATAACTTGAAAACTAGTAGTTGGAATTCAATACAACTTCATACAATGGTCAAGCGCAATAAGAGGAAGTGCAGTGCACAATAACCATAACTCAATCTTCAGTGTTTATAGAGTTATTGCCCTTTGTTCCTTTTCCTTGTCTTTCTGGACTTATTACAGAGTAATCCAATAAAACTTTATCAATGGCCAACCACATTGAAAGGAAATGCAACATACAAGAACCACAACTATCTTTAATTGCCCACAACCATAACTCTATTTCAATTCTTTACAAGGTATTCTGTTACTAGTAACATCCTCATTTCCGAAGCAGTCTTGCAGGGGTATTAATCACATTTAGTGATAGTTCTAGTTATTTTTGTATATGAAAAATACTGTACAGTCATCATGGTCCAAATTGATAGGGAAAACGTAAGCTGCGTATTAATATGAGTATTGAAACGGCTTGAGTGAAAAAAAGAAGAGAAAAGTTATTTTATCAATGTTTAAACATATGATTATTATAGATAACTTTAAGCAATTGTTACAATGTAACACCTGTTCCTAAATAAACATATAATTTGTTACAGGAAATAGTATATTGGGATGTTGATGAGCACAACCGTCTGAATGTATCTATGGAAATTTTTGTATCAAACAAATTCGAAATGGTAAGTTTTAACCAACAATTCTTACTGTACAAGGATCAAAAGATAAAAGGGGACTGTGTACATGCAAAATAGTCTTATATCTGATTAGGGGTAATGGTGCAAAATAGTCTTATATTTGAACAGGGTTAAGGGTACAAAATAGTCTCATATCTTAACAGAGTTAAGGGTACAAAATAGTCTTATATCTGAACAGGGTTAAGGGTACTAAATAATCTTATTTTTGAACAGGGTTAAGGGTACAAAATAGTCTTATATATTAACAGGGTTAATGGTGTAAAATAGTCTTATATCTGAACAGGGTTAATGGTGCAAAATAGTCTTATATATGAACAGGGTTAAGAGTACAAAATAGTCTTATATCTGAACAGGGTTAAGGTTACAAAATAGTCTTATATATTAACAGGGTTAATGGTGCAAAATAGTCTTATATCTGAACAGGGTTAAGGGTACAAAATAGTCTTATATCTGAACAGGGTTAAGGGTACAAAATAGTCTTATATCTGAACAGGGTTAAGGGTACAGAATAGGCTTATATCTGAATAGGGTTAAGGGTACAAAATAGTATATCTGAACAGGGTTCATTGACAGTCTTTCATTGTTTAACATTCTTGAAGCTGATTATGATTAGTAATTAACTGCTGAGGAGCAGAAAAATGTTAGCTCAACATTGAAGTTATAAGGAAACATGAAACTAGCCATTCAGGGAAAGGGCATTAACCTCTGTTCTTCCAACTTATGTATGTAAATGCACCTTGATGAGTCCGACTAAGTTTTAGTAACAAAATGTCAAAGGTCAAGGTCGCAGGTTTGTGAAACTTTGTATGTTATACTGTAATTACTTGTAATACTTATAAATGTAACACTTGACCTTATAAATATGCAAATAAGTATGTTAACATGCCACTGTGACAGGCAAATGGAGTGGGACATAGTGTCCTATGTGACACATTTCTAGTTTATGATGTTCTTGAACTATATGAGCCTCTGTGATCTGTTGAAGAACCACTATCGTTATATATTGTATAGATTGATCCAAAATCCAACAAAATTATAGTGTGTTTTCAAACCCTGATGAAAAACTTTAAACAGAGTTTAGGAAATTTAGATATTAGTGAATAACATTTTGTGAGAGTCAGGTTTGACTTAATATCGGATATGACTCATAATTTATGCAGATATGACTTTAAATACTGGATATTTTCAAACTTCCTGCTTTTTAGCTCACCTGTCACAAAGTGACAGGGTGAGCTTTTGTGATCGCTTTTCGTCCGTCCGTCCGTAAACTTTTACTTTAAATGACATCTCCTCATAAACCACTAAGCCAATTTCATCCAAACTTCACAGGAATGTTCCTTTGGTGGTCACCTTTAAAAATTGTTCAAAGAATTTAGTTCCATGCAGAAATCTGGTTGCCATGGCAACCAAAAGAAAAAACTTTAAATATCTTCTTTTAAAAAAACCTAAGAGCTAGAGCTTAGATATTTGGTATGAAACATCTTCTAGCAAGTGTCTACCAAGTTTGTTCAAATAAAAGCCCTGGGGTCAAAATTGGCCCCGCCCCAGGGGGTCATTGATTTTCCCAATATGTATATAGTAAAAACTTAAAAAATCTTCTTTTAAAGAACCCAAAGAGCTAGAGCTAAGATATTTAGCATGAAACATCTTCTAATGGTCGTCTACCAAGTTTGTTCAAATAAAAGCCATGGGGTCAAAATTGGCCCCGCCCCAGGGGGTCATTGATTTTTCCTATATGCATATAGTAAAAACTTAAAAAGTCTTCTTTTAAAGAACCCAAAGAGCTAGAGCTAAGATATTTAGCATGAAACATGTTCTAATGGATGTCTACCAAGTTTGTTCAAATAAGAGCCCTGGGGTCAAAATTGGCCCCGCCCCAGGGGGTCATTGATTTTTCCTATATGCATATAGTAAAAACTTAAAAAATCTTCTTTTAAAGAACCCAAAGAGCTAGAGCTAAGATATTTAGCATGAAACATGTTCTAATGGATGTCTACCAAGTTTGTTCAAATAAGAGCCCTGGGGTCAAAATTGGCCCCGCCCCAGGGGGTCATTGATTTTCCCTATATGAATATAGTAAAAACTTAAAAAGTCTTCTTTTAAAGAACCCAAAGAGCTAGAGCTAAGATATTTAGCATGAAACATGTTCTAATGGATGTCTACCAAGTTTGTTCAAATAAGAGCCCTGGGGTCAAAATTGGCCCCGCCCCAGGGGGTCATTGATTTTCCCTATATGAATATAGGAAAAACTTAAAAATCTTCTTTTAAAGAACCCAAGGAGATAGAGCTAAGATATTTAATATGAAACATGTTCTAATGGATGTCTACCAAGTTTGTTCAAATAAGAGCCCTGGGGTAAAAATTGGCCCCGCCCCAGGGGATCATTGATTTTCCCTATATGAATATAGTAAAAACTTAAAAATCTTCTTTTAAAGAACCCAAAGAGCTAGAGCTAAGATATTTAGCATGAAACATGTTCTAATGGATGTCTACCGCTCATGGCCCTCTTGTTTCATATTTTTTCTTGCTATGCGAAACATCCGTCCGCTAATAAACAAACTTTTAAACTTATGCTGTGTTAGTTGTTTGCATCTTTTCATGTAATATATAAATATTTTATAAAATTATTCTAATTTTTATAGATAGTGGCGTCTAGTTTACCAGAATTTACATATTCTTTTGCAGAGAATAATCTTGGGTAAAAGTGAATCGAGGATCTCGTCTATAACAGCAGGTGCCCGCCAGGCTCTCATGGACACGTTTCAGTGTGAAGTTCGATTCAAACTGGCCATTAGAGTGCACAAAAAGAGAGGCTCTAAATAACTTTTCATATGTGTCAAGAGAAAAAAAAATGATGTTATTAAATATAGAATTGAACATTTAATTATTTTCTTGTACTTCTTTCTTGGAATGTACAATGTATACCCAGATAGAGCTCTGTCTTTGTGCATTTGAGATATAAAAAAAGAAGAAAAATGTATGCTTTTAAAGTTGCCCTGGGACAAAAAAATACTGAGATAGGCAACTTGCGCTTTCTTATCGGTCACTATCTTGGTGTTGAATTGAAATTAAGCGATCAGTATTATTTTCTGCCCCAGAGTTAACAGTTTAATGAAATATTTCATTTCTTATTTTTAAAAGTAATAAAAGTGTAATTGTCTTTGTTTCTGCAAAACTTTATCATTGAATTTGCAGATCCAATTTATGAAATAAAAACCAATTTAAACAATCGGAATTATTTTAGATTTGTCTCCTATGTACTTGTAGAGTTTCTTTTCTAACGGGAACCTACTATGAATCATTTTACAAGGTCTCCTGAGTTAAGGGCATCTTGGACATCTATTATTATACTTAATGTAAGTCAGCTGTTACAGGATATAATAAAATTATACTTATTTTATAAATCTCAGCATTTACTTACTATTTGTCTACATGTACAAATTTTGTAGCTATGATGGACAATAATACGTACCTGCTGTGTGTTTTCATACTGATGTGTTTGAAGTTCAGATGCGAAGTTTGGACAGAAAAGGTCCAGTAGTTGCGATTGAACCAATAAAAATGCCTGTGTCAAATTTGGTCTGAAGCACTGTATAAAATCCCCCCACACACACACACACAAAATTGTTCAAAAACTGTAAAAAAAAATGGTAAAAGTAAAATTCATCTGGTGAAAATTATTATTTTTATTATAAGTGGCAGTGTTTTAAACGCTGAAGTCAAATAACACAAAAATGTAATGAAAAGAATTTGTCAATAAATTATTGAATTCAGTCTAGTTTTTACTGTATTAATATTCAGAACATCCTTCGGTAACAATTAAAGCGTTGACACTTGGCCAAAAAATATATATGTAGTTGAGTGTGTTGACCATTATTCCACGGTCATAATTTTATATGTGAAGGAACTGTACATCACGGTCTGATTACATGTATTGGTTTGTCTGGTTTAGGTCACTATATGGCGATTTTCCATCTTTGCTGGTCAAGGAAGACATCAGGCGCCCTTGCATGCATTGTTTCAGGCCCAAACGGGCACCTGTGTAGAACCATGAAGGTTCCATAAGCTAGCGCATGAAAGAATCCATGGTTCCTGTCGGGATTCGAACCCACAGCGGTGAGGGGCAAGTGGTTTGAAGTTAACGACCTTAACCGCTCGGTCACCGACGCCCCATATTGGTTGCTTGTGATTTAATTAAGACAAATCAACACTAAATATCATTTGGCGACTAATCAGCTTTACTTGTTGTTGAGAAAGACTTTGGGTACTTCCTCTTGTATTCGAGTTACCTTCCGTAAGTTTACTTCATGAAATTATCTCGTGTCACTGTTAGGATTCGAACACACGGCGATGGAGAGCAATTGATTTGACAGTACTTGGCAATGGAGAGCAAAACAGCATGCTTTGAGATAATTTGACTTCAACTACCGGCTTGGGGTACTTTCATTGAGAACGCCTTTAGAAGTTGCTAGAGGTTATTGTGGTACATAGTCGTACATAAAAGATATATTCCCACTATTATAAATCTTTTTTTTCGGGCGAGACTAAAAATGGTGCTTTACATCGTAACTCGTTCAAGAACCAGTTGTTTCATATAGATCGCAATAATTTCAATTTCCGTTGCAAAATAAAATACTGACAAAACGCATATGACACTTCAAATATTGTGCAGATAAAAAACACAACATTTTAACACAATATCAAGTATGACCATTCGGAGGTTTTGAAAAAAAATACTTATCACATTGACCTAATTTGTTGCATATTCGTTTTACTTTAAACTGTCTAAGATATTAAATTTCCGTTATTATTTATTCACATTAAAGTTTCTAGATACAAGTTATCTAACCACAAGCACTTGTATTGTGCATATGAACTCATGACCTTAGTTATCTAGAAAACCGGAAGTTAATAGTTTACATCCTTGAAAACTAGACACAAGGGATGTAATGTGTGTTTAACCGAAACTAATTTTATCATGAATTGTAAAAAGATTTTAAACGACGCTGTTTTAAGTGTTAAAAGCATTTCGTTTGTTAATCAGAAGGATTAGATCAAATATATAAACGCGAAAACACTACAACGTTGAACTGAAGAAAGAGGCGAATAAGTCGACGTCAAAAGCGCCAAACGTTACGCGACATGCAATGACGTCATTTCTTACGGCGGTTGTAATTTCAAAATGGCGACCAACTATGACGACAGGTCCTAAAAAGTATAAATATTGATCTTTTTATGATGAAAAGGGAACTTACTGACGAAACAAATATAAGGATCTGTGGTAAATTAACAAAAATGAAATAAAATGGCATATTTATCGGTTCCAACACGACATGGCAGTTTATTTCAAAATGACAAGACCGCTGCAAAAGTTTTCGAAAGGAAGCGTGCACAGAAAACTGACGAATATTTCAATAGAAACACCCGTAAAAGCTTTTCCGATGACGGAGATAAAGTAACAGTTAATGTTGGAGGTAAAAAATTCCTAACTCGAAAATCGACGTTAAGAAATGTACCAGGTACAACGCTGGCAACTTTAGATGAAACGAGTGAACATTATGATGTACTTGCAAAAGAATATTACTTCGACAGAAATCCTTTTTTATTTACATATATTTTGGACTACTATCGCACCGGAAATATGCACCTTCCGAGGAATGTATGCGCGTCATCTATTAGAGAAGAAATTAAATTTTGGGATCTTGGTGACGGCTGTATTTCTGAATGTTGTCGGAAGTTTTATTTCGACGAGTTGGATGATTATACAACGTATGAACTGATTAAAGACGAGTTTTATAGTTTACCAACTTACACTGGCGCGTCCTCAGATTGCAGTTTAACTATTGAAAGTAGACTTCAAGAATTCAGAAGAAGGGCATGGGTATTCATTGATAACCACGAGTCTTCAATCCCTGCAAAGGTATACATTTGTTCATTTAAGATTTATGTTTGTCGTCTGATATCTACAGTAACAAGAACACATTGCACTGGACTTTTAATTTCGATATAGATTTATAACCTTTTTTGATTGGCGGCGCGAAAAAAACATGCTTATCTAAAATGCAAACGCTGCTACCGTAATTCTTTATTTTTGCTTCGTTATTTGTCTGTTTAGCCACTGTAGTTTATTATTCTCAACCGTAATATATTAGTGTCGCGACCGTCATTTTCTGTTCTTTACCATAATTTGTTAATTTCGATACCTAAGTTATTTATTCTCATCCTCCGTAATTTCTTAGTGTCGCTTCGGCAATTCGTTATTAGCTAATAACGCTATCAAATTTTTTTTTTCAGCGTAATTTCTTTTTGTCGCTACAGACCCGTAATTCATTTTTCTTGATGGTAATTTATTAGTGTCTTTACCGTGATTTTTTTTATTCTCTAACGTAATATGTAAGTGTCGCTACCGTAATTCTTTATTCTCTACCGTAATATGTAAGTGCCGTAATATGTAACTGTCACTACCGTAATTCTTTATTCTCTACCGTAATATGTAAGTGTCGCTACCGTAATTCTTTATTCTCTACCGTAATATGTGAGTGTCGCTACCGTAATTCTTTATTTCCTAATAGTTCCGCTACAGTAACTCATTATTCTCTACCGTTGTTAGTGTCGCTACAGTTTTTTATTTTTCTCAACCGTTGCTACAGTAGTTCTTTAAACTATACAGAAATTTCTGTCGCCTCTGAATATTGTAATTTGTTCGTGTCATATCCTTAATTTGTAACATATATAGTGCTGTATCCATTATTATTCATGTATGATATTCTTTAACCGGAAAACTTTTGAGTATAGTTGATATTTGCCAAGTATTTTCCTTTAACAAACATGTTGTTTTCGAGTATACATTTCCGGTATTTACATTCTTATTCAGGAAATCACGAAGTTTAACAGTCATCCTTTAAGTTAAACAAATTTATTAATTATTATACATGGTATACCTTTAATATAAGATCTCTTTCTTACATATCATTTAAGCGGGCATTTGGAGTCCTTTAGCATGGCCCATAACATTTGGTAATATTTTACTATACATCACGAATACTAACCTTTTTCAAAAAAAAAGTTAAACACGTGACACAATTGATTATATAGTTAAACACAAATGTATACATTCAAATGCAGATATTTAAAAGTAATTTTGATAAGCGCTTAAAACATTTCAAAATGATGCAAAAAGTGCTTAAAACACTTCAGATTGATGAATTGATAAAATATACTTCAAATAAATTTGCGTATAAAGATATTTTTTTACAGTACTGTGCATGATTCTGTGATATATTGCTTGTCAGTCTAAGTCTTTATATAGATTGTTAGCTACGCTACTTCCGCTATAGTTGCTGGATGAGATAAAGTAGTCCCAAATAAATGCGCGCTAATGGTCGTAAATAAAGCAACGCTAATACCTTACGCCATTGAATGGCAAACACTTGTTGGGTGGGGGTCAATTATTTTACTGCCACTCCCTCAACCTAACCCCCGCCCCTCTCCCCCTCTCCCACTAATTAGCACAGAGCCAGTCCATTCTTTTAAAGCTACACGCCTCCAAAGAGTCAAAATATTTCAATACAATCAAACTTTGGGAAAATGTACTAAGATGTAAGGAAGAGAAAAAAGTTTCAAGATTCAAGTGATATTTTACATATTATGTGCGATATCAGTATTTACAACTATATTTCTACTACGCTGCAAAGCATATTTTGACCACTTTTTGGTAATTCACGTACGTGGTTTGTAAGTGTCATTGATAATGTGTGGATTGCTTTTCTTTTTTTTTATCACAATATTACACATTCAAAAACATTTTCAAAATATTCATGAAAATTAGTATGAATCTGGAGGCGTGCTGCTTTAAACCTTGTGGTCCCTTTCGGAAAATGAAACCTTATATATGTCTTTCGCATTGCGTGTGAGTTTATTTTTTAGTTTTTACGTATCCGAAGCAATCCTTATATATACATACAGACCCGAGGACATGCGGATCTTTACGTGTTTTGGCATCACTTTGGTATCTTAATTAAAGAAGTAAGGTGAGTGTTTTTGCTAGTGTTGTGTCATAAAACAAAATATGAAATGGTAGTCGGTATCACTTTTTTCAACTATTGTGATTGGTTGTCCTTTTTTCTCCTGTGATGTTTAAATAAAGGGATGAATACATGATATAATGCACTTAAAATGCCAAACTAAACTGTTTTTTAAATGAAGTCAAACATTTCTTGGTATCATTAAATGTGACACACAAAATATATGACTAATTGTGAGATTTAATGACAAACTTCAATTAACTGATGTTTATTTATTTCATATTTTTAATGCGTATATTTTTTACCCGAATTGATATAGATACATATTGTATTTTTTTTCTTCTCATATTTAATTACGCTAAACATGCAAAAATACAGGTTCTCGTGTACACGTTTATTTGAAACTTTTTACTTCCCGTTCAGACAAAACATATACATTCTAAAATACTAAGTATAACTGAAAATAAATATTTTTACCAAAAGCTAGAGGTGTAGGGTTTGCTTATGACACAGTGCATGCATCTTGTTGTAGAGAGTATAAATTGACTGCTCATCGACTATCATTTCAAAATTTATGTCACACTATACTAGCAAAAATAAAATATCACCAAATGAAACGTAATTTGAACTGATAATAAATTTACCTACACGCATAAAAAGACGAGTTTATTTTCCCCAAACGTGATTAAAGAACGGAGCGAAATACTACGAAAGCGGAAAGGGGGTGATAAAAGTTTTAACCGCCTTTTTACTAGTTTTCTATTCGTCGTCTCTACAACACGGCATGCGGTCGGGAGCAGTCTCTCGCCTCCAGCTTGAAATTTGCTGACAATTCATTTTTTTTTCCGAGCTCATTTACTCGCGAATGATTACACGTTATATGACGTCAGGTGTTACGTTAATAAACCATATGTCGTCAGAATAAAAACTTCTTCTATTATTGGTTTAATCTGATGTACTATTACATGGAAGCGTGTTAGAATAAAAGATAACGCCAAGGTCCGTTAACATGTTTAAAGGAAATGGACTTTTAACTTTTGTGTCCCATAAATGCTTCTATATTGTTAAGTGTTGCAACGCTTTTCACTCTAATCGGGCATAGAATAGCATAAAAATATTTTCAATTTATTTTTGAGTATATTTCTTAAGTATGTTTAGAATATCTTTCTAAGTAAGAAAATCAAAATTAAAGTCTTTAGCTTTTCTAGAGCTCAAAATCATGGCCATTATTTTTGCTTTTGATGTGCATAAATTATGAATTAACGTTTTTGTGTTTATCTCTCCTTTTTCAGATATTTGCAGTAATCTACTACGGTCTTATTATCCTGACAATACTTAACCTTTTCATCTCGACGGTTCCGTCATTGCGGCAGCCATTACAGAAGCACGTGCTCATCCGGTCAGCAGACGACATTGTACCGGAATTCGAATATTTAAACAGCATCAATGGAACAATGAAAACCCTTCTTTCAACCGACCCGCCAGACGGTCTTGTTATATTGGATGTAATTTGTCTCATATTTTTCACAAGTGAATTCCTGTTCCGGCTTTTTGTAACGCCTTCATTGCGGCAAAGTTTCAAAAGTTGGTATACTTTGCTGGATATTCTTTATCTAGTGCCTGCATGGACTAGATTAATAATCGACGTTTCTAAGCCATTTTTCTGGCAGCAGGGGTCCAAGAATACGACATTCTTGATAATACTTGACGCCATGGTGGTACTGAGAGTGTTTCGAATATTCAGACTCTTCCGCCATTACCGCGGACTGCGGGTCCTACTTTTGGCAGTTAAAGCGAGCGTTAGCGAACTTATGTTACTGGTAGTGTTTGTCCTCTTTTCTCTGACCATTTATGCGAGCCTTGTATTTTGTGCGGAACAATACAACACGGATCAAGAAAGCGGAAGTGACACATTTTATAGCATCTTCTACGGACTTTGGTGGGCTTTGATAACTTTGACAACAGTCGGATATGGTGATATCTATCCGGTGACAACAATAGGGCGAATAATCGCCTGCTTATGTGCAATAACTGGACTACTGATAATCGGTATGGTCGTACCGATTATCGCTGGCAATTTTCATCTTTACTACGGATTTCGTCATGCCGGATGTGAAGATTTTGAACTATTTAAGCCAGACTTTGTACCCACAGAGAGCGAGAATCCTTTACCGGATATTGAATTTGAAAATTATGTTCCAAGAGACCGACGTCTATCATGGGTTCCTGGTAGTGTGGAACAAGTTGAGGGTGTTTTCAGGTCCATGAGTCAAAAAAGCTTTAAGGAAGTCAATGGGGCGATTCCATTACAAGATATAAGAACTTCCAGGACAAAAGCCAGATTTCCGTCTAAAAAGAACAATACTGTAGTTTCTCCAGATGTACCGGAAGTAGAATTGAGGAACGCCAGTCCAAAATGAGGCTCATCACAGGGAAACTGGCTAAAACAAACGATATCTGACCAGGAGAAAGAGGCCATCTTTAGCGATCTATATACCTGACTAGCAACCGGAAGTGTGTTGAAGTATGTCCGCTTCAGATTGAAAATGCCAAACGGAAGTTATAAATTATTTTGAAACATTAAACAGTGACTAACGATTTGTTCAACTGTTACATACATGACTGTATTGTGCTGTATTTCCACAAGATTACTGTGCAGATTCAATGTAATTTTGAATGTTGCTGCATTTGTTATACGTACAACACGTGCAAGTGTTTTTCTTTTCTATTGTACATGTACTGTAGCACTGTAATTTTGATAATGTATAAAAATATGTTTACATAGAAATATATGCCTATAGTACATAACCATTTAAGAATTGTTTATGATATGTATACATGTAGTTTAATTAGGGATACAGAACCCTGATTTTAAGAAAATTTCAAAAAGTTTTATAAAAAAAATCCAAAGGACTTTAATTTACAATTAAAAATTAATTACTGAAACCTTTTTAATGATTTTAGAGGGAAAAAAATTTAAGACTTTTTCTTGAAAATCTACAAAATATAATGAAGAAATATCATTTGAAAATTCTACAAAAGTTCATCGTCTGTCAAATATACATGTATGGGCGAAATTTATTGCAGTTGGATCATTAACCAGTCACATATTTGCTATACATTATATGATTTACCAGCTAAACCAACGCATGGGGAAATAAACTAAGGGTTTAAAAAGGGGAATAAGAAATGAAGACAAGAAGACCACAATGGCCCTTATATCGCTCACCTGATTATGTAATTATTAAGGCTCTGAATTAATATTTTTAGCAATCAATAAAAGGCAGGCATAAAACTCACCTTGGGCACTTTGTGCGCAGGTGAGCTAAAAACTGGTTCTGGAACACAGATTCTACGTTTGAATATTAGTTTTAATAAACTTTTTTCACTGGTAATATGACCACGTAGATGGATGACTGTATCGTGAGATTAAATAATCCAGGTCTATCGTATATAAATGTCACAATTAAACAACAATTTACCATTTCTTTCTAACAAAATGTTCATAAAGCTATTTTATGAATGTTACGCTGACATTACAAACACAATAGATAATATAACGTCACGTGGGTCCAATGAAAATTAATGTTACGATAGAGAAGCTACATTTTGTTCTATTTTAGCAGGGTCTTTCAAATAGAAATTTGAAAGACCTTGATTTTAGCGAGTTTTAGCATTTATTTTGCTTGGACCAAATTTTCAAAGCTTTGCTTTATGTTTTATGAA